TGTCGGTGTGTGGGAGGGTCACTTTCACTCCTCTGCATGGGGCCATCAGGTTTAGTGACTTATTTTGTGGCACTGAGGATTTTAACTCAGGGAGCCACACCCCAGCCTGTGCCCTCTGCTCACTATAGCTCTGGGGTGCACTTTGAGGTGGGGGCCTCCAGCTTTGGCCTTGGGGTCTTCTGTGCCTCCATACGGATGTGAAGTTGTTGCCCATTTCTGTGAAAATTGCTGGTACGTTAGTTGCATTGATTCTAAGGGCTGCTTTAGGAGCTGCGGGTATCTCCAAGATAGTCTTTCTCCCCTTCACAAACACGCACCTCAGTACTGAATACACAGACTCAATCATGGGCAAAAGACCTGAGTAGACATCTCTCAAAAGGTTGCACACAAACGACCGAGTCTGTGGGAAAGCGCTGGACAGGGAAATGCAAATTGAATCCACAGTGAGGCGTCACAGCACTGCAGCCAGGCGAATGACACAGTGCTAGGGACAGAAGGGATAAGAGGAAACTTGGCACCCCTGGTGGGAACACAGTCAGCACAGGCACCAGGAACACAGCAAGGAGGGATCCCCAAACTAAGAACAGCCCCTCCTGCCGCCCCATGAATGGTCACAGACCAAGGAGCGGAGCCCTCCGTGCAGAGCGTGGCGCGCCCAGGCCCTCCAGGGCCCCCACCAAGGATCTGCTCACATGGCCAAGAAGCAGAGCCAAACTCAGCGTCCTCCATGGACGAATGTCAGGGAAATGGGGCTCGAACTCACAACGGGAAACTGTCCATCCTTGAAGCAGGATGAGCGCCTACCATCTGCCCCCCTCCCCCGGGGACAGAACTGGAAGTCATGTGTCATGCCAAGTGAGTCAGGAGCAGAGAGACGGGGACCGCATAACCCCCTCCAACAGGACATCACTAAAGCTGGCCTCAGAGTAGGGGGTGCACAGTGGCTGCCAGAGACTGGGGCGGGGGTAGAAATAAGAGCTGACCTCCATGCCACAGAAGGGCCTCCAGCCAACAGCATCATCCATTTCAAGACAGGAGTCCAAGGACACTGCCCCTTGGAGTCCCTATACTCAAAAGAGTCTTGAATTCCAAACATTGAAACTTAATTGTGAGACATTAAGATCTCAGAAAATTTTGGATGAGCATGGTTGAAATGTTGTGAGTCTAAAAGGCAGAGAGCAGGTAGGCAGACAGCAGGTAGGGAGAGAGCAGGTAGGCAGACAGCAGGTAGGGAGAGAATAAGTAGGGAGAAAGCAGATAGGGAGAGAGCAAGTAGGCAGAGAATAGGTAGGGAGAGAGCAGGTAGGGAGAGAGGAGGTAGGCAGAGAGCAGGCAGGGAGAGGGCAGGTAAGGAGACAGCAGGTAGAGAGAGAATAGGTAGGGAGAAAGCAGGCAGGGAGAGGGCAGGTAGGGAGAGAACTAGTAGGGAGAGGGCAGGTAGGAGAGAGTAGGTAGGCAGACAGCAGGTAGGGAGAGAGCAGGTAGGGAGAGAATAGATAGGGAGAGAACAGGTAGAGAGAGAGCAGGTGGGCAGACAGCAGGTAGGGAGAGAGCAGGTAGGGAGAGAATAGATAGGGAAAGAACAGGTAGAGAGAGAGCAGGTAGGCAGACAGCAGGTAGGGAGAGAGCAGGTAGGGAGAGAATAGATAGGGAGAGAACAGGTAGAGAGAGAGCAGGTGGGCAGAGAGCAGGTAGGGAGAGAGCAGGTAGGGAGACAGCAGGTAGGGAGAGAATAGGTAGGGAGACAGCAGGTAGGGAGAGAGCAAGTAGGCAGAGAATAGATAGGGAGAGAGCAGGTAGGGAGAGAATAGATAGGGAGACAGCAGGTAGAGAGAGAGCAGGTGGGCAGAGAGCAGGTAGGAAGAGGGCAGGTAGGAGAGAGCAGGTAGGGAGAGAGGAGGTAGGCAGAGAGGAGACAGGCAGACAGCAGGTAGGGAGAGAGCAAGTAGGCAGAGAATAGATAGGGAGAGAGCAGGTAGGGAGAGAGAAGATATGGGGTGAGCTGTTAGAGAGAGAACAGGTAAGGAAAGAGCTATTAGGAAGAGAGCAGGTGGGCAGAGAGCAGGTAGGGAAAGAGGAGGTAGGCAGACAGCAGGTAGGGAGACAGCAGATAGGGAGAGAACAGGTAGAGAGCAGGTAGAGAGAGAGCAGGTGGACAGAGAGCAGTAGGGAGACAGCATGTAGGGAGAGAGCAGGTAGGAAGAGAGCAGGTAAGGAGAGAGCAGGTAAGGAGAGAGGAGGTAGGGAGAGAGAAGATATGGGGTGAGCTGTTAGAGAGAGAGCAGGTAAGGAAAGAGCTGTTAGGAAGAGAGCAGGTGGGCAGAGAGCAGGTAGGGAGAGAGGAGGTAGGCAGACAGCAGGTAGGGAGAGGGAAGGTAGAGAGAGAACAGGTGGGCAGACAGCTGCCCTGGTCTCCACCCCAGTTGCTTTTTCCCTTTTCTTTGCTTTTCTTTAAGGCCCCTGGTCCTGGCCACATGGTGGCTAGGTGTCCCTCTCTTGGGCTCCTGCTGTGCCCTTGGCTATTGTGGGCTGAACTCTCCTGAACTGAGCAGGTGAGTGGGGCAGCCGCCAGGCGAGTGGAAAGGTCTGGAATGGACGAACAGGTGTTCCAGGGTCCTTCCCCATGGAGCCCCTTCTTGCTGACCTGACTTGTGGGGGGTCCCTGCTGGGCCAGTTGGCAGGTGGACATCACACCCCTCTAATGTTCCAGGATCCTTCCTCGTGTCTGATGCTCTCTCCATGCTTCCCTGAAAGTCTGCCTTCCTCTGAAGGGACAGAGACTTTGAACCCAGTGGTGTCCACTCCCAACTCCTGAGCGGAGCACAGGGCACCTGGTAGGTGTTTACCAGATGGCCATCGGTCCTCAACAGCTTCCCCAGGCTCCTGAACCCTGGGAAGGCAGAGGCTTCAGCCCTCGCAGGCTCCATCTGGGAGCACAAGAGGAGCCCGAGGCAGGGAGGTGAGACGACTTGCCCTCAAGTTCAATTATTCTAAGCTCTGCTCACGAGTCAGGCTAATCGCGTTTATATCGTTTCACGTCTGCATAATTCTGAGTCACCCACAGTGCCCCTGCCCTGCACATGGGCGTGTGAGTGGCCTGTGCCTGCCAGTGTCCAGGGGCCGAGGGCAACCCTGGAGTGAAGGCAGAATCTGGGTTCCATCCCTGTGTGATGCTCCCCTGGAGCTGCGTCCACCCTGCCTCCACATCTGCCTCTTGACGCCTGGTGGACGTGGAGGGGGCTCTGTGCCGGCCAAGCAGGAGGCAGGGCCGGGGGCTGCCAGGTCCCTGCACTTTGGGGAGTCCCTGAACATGGACGCTCGACCTGCTGCTGACCGCCCTCGTCAGACCTCCGACCCCCGCAGCCACGGCCCCAGCTTTCTCTTTGTGAACAGCCCCATTCTGCCCCTTTCCAGAAGGCTCTCGGGGGCCAGGAGAGCGCTCGTCCAGGAAGCAGCTCCTCCCCCAGCCAGGACGTCCCTCCTCACCACGCCCAGGTCAGGGGGGTTTCTGGAGAGACGGAGAAGGGCTCTCCACCTGGAGGAGGACCCCACCTGCCCTGACCCTTGCACTAGAGGACCAACAGAACCTCCCTGGGCAGCCTGGGACAGAGCCAGGGAGAGGCCCTGATGGTGACCAGTGGGAGGAGGAGAGGGGATCCAGGAAGGCTTCCTAGTGGAGGTGAGGAGCCCACCCTTCTCCCCTGCATTCAGCCTTCAGGGCCCCACCTGGCATGCTGGTGGCTCACGGAACTGTCCGTTTGTCATCCAGGGTCTCCCTGGTAGCTCAGTCCCTGAAGGTCTGATCCCGGAGTCCCACAGGCCTGTGTGAACAGTGGTGACCCAGCACAAGCCCAGGGGATCAGAGCAGGAAGTTCTCCAATTACCCCTAGACCTTGACCAGGCCCAGTCAAGCAAAATAGATTTGTCTAGAGACCAGAGCTGGACAACTTGAGCCCCTGGCATTGATCTGGCCCACACCGTGTGTTAAATGGACATTTATCATCGGCTCCGTGGAGGCCGCTGTCCGAGCCGGGCACACAGAGGAGCACAGTCAGAACTGGGAGCCTCCCCAGGCAGGAGCCCGAAATCCAATTTCCCTCCTGTCCTGGGGACTAAAAGCCTCTGTCAACAGCTGCCCCAAGCCCGCAGATCCAATTAGCCACTGCAGAGTGGCTCGCTAAGAGCCAGAGGCACGCCCGTCCTCTGAGAGACTAGCCACCGGCCTCCTCCGTGCAGGATCTGACCAGCACCCAGAGGGGAGGCTCCAGGCCCACCACGCCCCTGCCCTGTCTAGGTCCCCGCACCCCTCCTCCACCCCGCCAGTCGCCCGCCAGCCGCCCGCCAGCTGCCCCGCCTGCTTCACTTCCCTCTTCTGTCCTGAGGTGCTTGTCACTTGAAAAGGGCTTGGTTACCCCAGCCACCTGCCCCGTGGCTCTGCCAGGCCATGGGCCACTCCCCCCCTTCTCCAGGGAAGTTCTGGGAAGAAGGTCCAGGTCCCCTTCGTTCTGCCCCCTCACTGAGCCCACCCCAAGTCCCACAGGGGCTTCTCTCCAGGAGGACAGTGCCCACTTCCTCCCGCCCACCCAGGCTGGCGGGGACCTCTCCCAGAGCCCGGCTGTGTGGCAGGTCCTGAGGGCAGGGCGGGGCAGGAAGCTACCCACTCCTTTCCTTCCTTCCACCCTAGGGCTTCAGCAGCAGCGCGGCACTCGTACACACCACATGCACACATGCACACACGCGCACACACGTACGCACACGCACACTCACACTCCTCCCAGCCCGGCCCCTGTCATGCTGCGTCTCCTGAGCCAGCCACAGGACCCTCCTCGGGGCACATAGCAGCTGCCTTCCTACTCCACTCCACCTGGTGTGGTCCCGGGTGCTGCCGATCGCCAAGACACACGCACAGGCGCTCACGTGGCGCACTCACACATTTCCACACAGTGATAGTCTCTTGGAAACCAAAGTGTGTTACATAGTAAAGGCTCTGAGAAGTCTGGTGAAGAAACACACTGTTTAATTTGGTTTAATCCAGAATTTCCTAAACCATGAAATGCAGATGTATTTTTCACGGTCGCCTCTTGGCACCCTCGAGGGGAGTGTTCCAGGAGTCCCAGTGAGTGTGCACGGGTGACCTGCTAAGCACACTGCAGCCCCCCGACAGACAGTCAGGACGGCCTGTGCTTAGTGCTGGCTCCCTGCAGGGCTCCACTCCCCAGCTCCCTGTAGAGAAGTGGAGTCCTCGCGGCCACCATGAGTCCTCCTCCAAGACACATACCGCTCCCTCCTGCCTGCCAGCTTCACCCACCGTCACCCAACGTCACAAGCACTGCTCCAGATCAGACCAAAGGCCACCCTTCCAGGGTACCCCTGTCCTCCCACCAGAGGAGAGCTGGTCCTCCCTGGACTCTGGCTTCAGTCTTCCTGGACTCCCCAGTGCTTGACCACTGGGGCCCTTGATTCACCCTGGCCCACCCCTGCCCTGGCCACGGGCTGTGGCTCCTGGAGAACCAGGCTCTATTGGGTTCCTTGGACTCCGTGTCCCTGGGTCTGCAAGGAGGAGTCCTTCCAGGTGTCAGGTCTGGGTGTGACCACGGCCTCAGAGGACAAGAGGTATTTTGTAGGCCTGGTTCAGTGGGGTCCATACCTGGCCAAGTAAGTAATTACAGGGACCTGTGTGACTAAGTCCCTATAAAGAACCTACAGCCCAGAGAAGGGGCTGAAACGTCTACAAGTCACCAGTCGGCTCAGCAGAAGAGCCAGGATCGTGATGCTGAGGGTAACCCGAGGCCAGCTGGGGCCGGGGCAGCCCAAGAGATGGCCAGGCCAGGAGCCGGAGCAGAGAGTCAGGGCCAGTGGCAGGATGACGAAGGAAGGAGGTGGACCTGGTCTCCCGGTCCAGCGGAGTGGTCCAGTCCTCCTCGTGGAGAAGTGGGTGTGAGTAGTTAGTGCTGCTGGAACACCACCTCAGGGCGGGGAAAGCTGAATTCCCACGAGAGTCTCTGTCAGGTATGGATTTGGATCTGGTCTTTGAGATGATCAAGTGGTTTCTCTGGCATCGTCTGTTACTGGGGCAGGTGACATAGATAGATCTGAACATTAAACCAGCCTTGCATTCCTGCATTCCTGAGGACAGCGCCCTGGGTGGTGCTGGGCCGTCCTATTTGCATCCTGGTGGGACCTATTCTCTACGACTGTATTAGGGAATTCTTACATCTATGTAATGAGAGGTGCTGAGCCCTAGTTCTCCTTCCTCGTGATATTTTGCCTGACTTTGGTGTTAGAGGAACACGATGTGTGTTCTCTCCTCCCGCTTCCTGGCAGTTTGGGAAGAATGGGCACAAGTTTTTCCTGAAGGGTTCAGTAGCATCCAGACCCAGGGGAAGGCATGGAGGCCTGCTGCCCATTTCTTCAGTTCACCCAGGGCTCTTCACATGCTCTATGTCTCCTTGTGTTTCTGGCTGTAAGGTGTCTGTCCCCAGCTCCGAGGACCCCGGTGTACTGTAAGGCTCTTGCTGATTTCTCGATTTCCCCTTTGCTCTCTGTAGGCTCCAGTGTCCCTGTGAGCCCTGTGTTGGCACCGGTCCACAAATCTGGGTAGGGTGTGTTTTTAATTTCTATTCAGTTAAAAATTTCTTCTAATTTTCCTTTTTTTCTTCAATGTATGGCTTATTTTGAAATATGTTATTGGATTTCCAAACACACTGAGATGTTTTCAGATGTCATTCTGTTGTTGATTTCTGACTTAATTATATTGCGGTCAGGGACCAGGTCTTATTGATTTATATTGTTTTAAAGTCAGCATCTGTTTTATAGCCCAGAATATGGGCGAAGGCAGGCACTGTTCAATGCTCTCTTGAAAAGACCGTGCCTCCTGCAGCTGGTGGTGGGTGTCTGTAGTGCGACCCGTCTAGCTGGTTGGTAGCCTCTCTCGTGTCTTCTCTGTCCCATTTACTTTCTGTCTCTGCTTCTGTCACATTGAAAGCATTTTGAAATCTCAGACCATTATTATGTTTTTTTTCTCTCTCTCTCTCCATCTAGTTCTGTTGGGGTTTTCTCTGTATTTATTTTCTCACTCTCTTCCTAGCCGCATACACACTGAGAATTGTTTTGTCTTCTTATTGAATTGATCCTTAAATCATCGTGAAATGATTCATAATCGTGATTCATCTTTTCACCCCAATAACATTCTTTCCTCTGGAATCCACTTTGTCTGACATTTGTTTTAAAAATCGTGGAGTCAGCCGGCCGTCTGTGTTCGCTGGCCGCAGCCCTCCTGGTGTGCAGCCAGGGGAGCGAGAGGCCAGGCTCTCCTGGACAACCCCAGGGCCCCTAGACACCTCTCACCGAGCTTGCAGGTGACAGGGTGGCCCCATGTGGCCAATCACTGTGCTCCTGGAGTCTGCTCCGCTCCTCGGGAGAGGCAGGGAGGGTTGAGGGTGACCCTCTGGCTACTTTTTGGAGAGGGTTTTGAGTTGTACTCTGTGAATCAGGAGCATGCAGAGTAGCTTATGTAACCTGATGGCAGTGCCTCCAGCATTGGGATGGCTGTGGAGCCTGGGCAGGGCCTGGCAGGGGCTGGGCAGGGGCAGGGCGGGGCCAGGGCGGGGCCAGGCAGGGATCCGCAGCATCAGTCCTGGGAGACTGACTTGGGGACAGGAGGAACCCAGCTCTCCTTTGTCCCTCTGGAGTCACAGGCCTGTGCTGGGCATGGGCTGGGGTCCTCCTGCCAGTCTCCACCCCGGCCCAGGACACCTCATCCTACCTGTGGGGCAGGAGGGCCCGAGAACATCATCAGGACCATTCATCCCTCCAGCTCAGAGCCCAGAATCCTGGGAGGGCACTGGGCACAAACACCTCCCAACAGGGTCCCTGGCCAGCAGGACCATGGTCAGGCCTGCACTAGACCAAGTGAAGAGAGTCCAGGGGGCTGATGTCTGCCTGGGACGGGGTGGCTCATGGGAGGCCCCCTGAGCTGGACACTGACGAGGGTGGGTGAGGAGGGGAGGGAGGGAGGGCATCCAGGTGTGGGAGCTGCGCCTGTCAAGGCCCTGGGGCTGCCAAGCCGTTGGGGCGTCACAGTCACAGGGTCTGCCTCCTCATAGCCACATCCAAGGTGTCCACCCCGCCTTGAAAACAGAGCTCGTGCCACCGCTTCCACCCACTCCCCTCGGCAAACTTCATGGCTGACCGCAGCCCTCTTCCCTGCAGACCCCAGACAGCCCCAGGTTCCTTGCCGTGCAACTGGAGCCGTTGAATAGGTTGACCTGAGACCCCCCTGCGGCTGTGGAGGGGTTAGGTTGAACCCCATCTTCCTGACACGTGAGGTCAGGTGCTCACGGAGAGGTCTGATCTGGTTCTCTTCATCTCCCAGAGGGACCTGTGGCTGCAGCCCTCCCCTGCCCTGATGTCACAGGATGGGCTGATCCTAGGCCACTTACCTGTGAACCACAACAATTAGTCCAGATGCCAGGGCCGAGGGGGACAGAGAAAGGAGGCTGGGGGAGGACCATCAGCTGGCAGAGGGATGGTGAGGTCCCTTCTCTCCCGGGCCTTGTTCTGCCAATGCAAACACCCTGCAGTCGGACAGAGAGGAGCCTTCACAGTGCCCGTCTCTTCAGGAAAAGAGAAGCTTCTATTGCTGTCTGCATCTTGCCTTCAGATACGTGACTGAGGAGTCCTGCACCATCCCTCCTGCTCCCTGGCATACGTGGGCACACGAGTGTGCAAGAACTCAGATCCAGGAGTGTGCCCCATTCAGTGAGCCCACCTGAGCTGGAGCCCGCAGGTGCAGACCCGCACCCTGCCGACTCCTTCCCTGGGAAGGGAGAGCGACCCTCCGACCACCAAATGGCTAAGCCAGGATTAGGTGGGAGGAAACAGGAGAGCTCGGGTTATTTCAGAAGGGCGTGTGCTGAGGCGCTCGGGTCAGCAGGAGGGCAGGACACAGCTGCCAGGCTGGCACCCACCAGCCATTGTGCCGCCGTGTCCCTGGTTACTGTCCAAGGCTGCCAGGCTGGAGGTGGCTTTCCCGTTCTAGTCCTGTGTTTGCAGCCACTCCTGAGTGGGTGCTCCCACGAAGGGTGCTGCGATGTCACCTGAGCCCGGGTCGGGGATGACTCCCCTGAGGCCAGGAGCCGGCTTCCTTCTCCAGGCTGTGTCCACACCTGTCACCTGGGGAGGACAGTGGCTCCTTCACAGGGCTGTTGCTCACCTGACCCAGGTAACTCTGTGAGGGCAAAACAAGGTCTGGTTGGGCTCAGACGTGGGGCACAGGCAGGGTCCCCGGGGCTCCCTGGAGATCAGCTCCCAAGGCTTCAGCACCATGGCTTGTGGACAGCTCCTACGCTCACCCTCCTGTGTCACCTGGCCCAGACCCCAGCCCCGGCAGGAGCCTCCCACTCTCCAGGGCCACACCACCCTGGCTGACCCCCATGCCCTCTCCCTCCCTGGCCCTCCCGCTCCCTAAAGGGCCTCTGCCCCCAGCATGACTCACTGTGATGCCCCCTCCACAACCCACATTCAGCCACTGGAGCCTGAGGACTGAGGCCGGGTACAGAGGCTGAGAGGAGGGGAGGAAGCCAGGGCCCCGGGAGGTGGGCTGCGGGGGTCTGGAGGCCCAAGAGCCAGGCTTGGCACCCGGTCTGTGTGGACCCTGGAGGGAAGTCGGAAGGCCACGGGCAGGCAGGGCTGGGTGGTCCCCATCACCCGGCCAGGGAGATGACTGTGGGACCTCAGGATGCAGAGGAAGGAGCAGCCCCGAGTCGCCCCGGCGATAGGAGGGACCAGTGGGGCAGGGGGCAGGGGGCAGGGCGGGGTCCCAGACACCAGGGAAGGAATTGTTTGAGGAGGAAAGAGGAGACCTGCTCAGCTGGGGGGCTGAGATGCTAAGGAATGATGTGACCACCTAAATGGCAGTGTGGAGGTCATTGTCCCCTGTGGAAGAGCCTCATTCAAGGACGACGGCAGAGAAGGAAGAGGACTGTTCAGACCAGGGCGCGAGGGGGCTTGGCTGGAAGGCCAGCAGGAGGAGGAGCCCCAGGCAGAGGCAGGGGAACGGCAGGGAGGCTGGGCCAAGCCTTCCTCTGGCTTCTCCCTCCTCAGGAAGCACCTGCAGAAAGTCGTGGTGGAGAGGCTGGGGAGGAGGAGGTGGGAGGAGAGAGAGGGGAGGAGGAGGCCGGTCAGCAGTCTGTGCAAGTGGGCACGGGGCAGGGGTCACAGGTGTGAAGCGCGACCAGTTGCAGGGCTGTGTGCAGAGAGACGCCAGCTTGTTCCCAGTCACACAGCTGGTGCCCCACAGAGCCTGCAGGACAGTGGCTCCTGGGCACAGCCACAGCTCTCAGTCTGCGGTGGAGGCCAGGCCAGGCTCTTGCAGAGTCCGAAGATGAGGCTGGGTATGGCCGCCTCCCTCCCGCCCTCTGAATTGCTCCAGGAGGCCCTGATGGCCAGTGCCAACAGCAGTGCCCTGAGTCAGGAAAGCCAGTCTGAAGCTGGGAGCCAACCAGGGCAGCTTTGTGCCCAGGGAGACACCGTCTCTGGGTGCAGGTCTGCGGGGTGGAGGGGACCTCCTCTACCAGCCAAGCTCTCCCTGGGCCTGCCAGGTCCTGGGCAGTGGTGAGTCCTGGTGAGGCAGAAGTTTGAAGGAGTTGCCAGAATGCTCTGCACCAAGACCTGCACACAGATGTTCCCATCTGCTTCCCAAACTGGCCAGGACTTGAAAGTGACCAAGATGGGGAGGGACCTGTAGTACACCAGATGGTGGAGTGTCATGAGCTATGGAGTCATGAAAAGCGTGAGGGGACCGACCTAAGCATAGTTCACTGAGTGTCAGAAGCCACCTGAAGGCCAGAGAGCTGGGGGCCTCATGATTGGTCTCTGTCGATTCTGGCTCACAGACCATATCACAGGGGCCACCACAGCAATTCAGGACCATGACACAGGAACTCACAGTGCCGTCTGCTCACTCCTTGCTGTGACCCTCAAGCCCATTAATTAAAAAAATATATTTTGGTGAAGGAAGACCCGAGGGCTCTGCTGTCCTCGAGCACAATCTGTGTGGTTGGCCATGCATGGGGTGACCCTGCGGGACAGGCTGGTTGCCCCTGGCTGCTGATTTCTCTCGGGCTGGGAGGCTGGGCCACTGCCAGCCCTGCCAGGGTAGAAGTTGTGTGGGCAGTCTGCTGTGGACACTGCACTCCAGCCTCCCCTCCACAAACCCCCTGGTCTGGCTGCCAACCCAGGTCCAGGAGGCTTCCGTTCTCCTGCAGAGGGGGCTACAGCCCTCTGCTGCTGCATCAGGCAGATGAGCCCTGGCCTGCAGGAGGCTCCCCTCGCCCTTGGGGGCTCGCCTTCCCCGTAAGTCCCACACTCTCTTCACCTTCCTGCCAGCCTGGGCCCTCCCTCCTTCAGGTGCCCCGCCGTAATCCCAGCTGGGGTGGGAGTCTGTTTCTTTCCCCTCCCTTCTCCTCCCAACTTGCCCTCCACAGAGCTGACCATAGAGCACAGGCACCATGGTGGGGACCGACTGCCCCTGCACACCCTGCATGACCTGCAGCTTGGTGGGAAAATCAAGAACTGGATTGGACACCTGGGCAAGAGCCGATGCACCTTTGGCATTACCCCAAGTCGCTGGGACCGGCCCATCTGTAGAGTCTGTTGCCCTCCCCAAGTCTGTGACCCTGCTCACCTGACGCTGCTGCTGCAGAACTTTCTTAGAGAAGAAAGAACTGAGGCAGGGGCAGTGGTGAGGCCCTCGGTCAGCAGGAGGGCAGGACACAGCTGGCCAGGATGGCACCCAACAGCCCTATGTAGCTCGTAGAAAGAGCAGGCTGGCGCCACAGAACTTTCTGGAGTCTGTGTGTGAGGCTGCCCTATCCTGGCGCTGGGGCCAGTGCAGAGGGGGCTCCCCCGCACCATGGCCTGGCCCCAGGTCTGGCCCAGAGCCGGGATCCCTCCGAAGTCTCACTGGAAACCTCCAGGTCAGCTCTCCTCATGTTTCTAGGATGTATCGATTTTGTCTGGCCTGGAAAAGCAACAAAAATGCTTTTACTGCTCATTTCTGGTGGCATCGGGGAGGCTGAGAGAAGGCACAGCCCTGTGCGCCTGTCCCTGGGGCCTGCAGGCCAGTCTGTTGCCAGTGCTGCCCCGCGGGCCGCCAAACACCCGCCCACCCCACTCACTGTCCCGTAGGCAGGTCCCCCTGTGCCTGCCCCAGTGGGTGTGAGCCGGTGAGGCCAGCTCCCTCTGCCCACTGCAGGGGTCTGCAGGCCTGCCTGTCCTCTCATTTAGCTCAGGAGGCCACTGCGCTTCACGGTGGCATGCAGTGAGTGTGAGGCAGAAGTGGCTGCTCCCACCCTCCTGCCCCCAGCCAAGGCCCCCCACTCCCAGGCCCAGAGTGCAGACCGGCCTGGAGAGCTACACAGACCAGCAAGTCACAGGCCGTCCCCTTTCTCCAAGCACCTGGGCTGTCCCTGAGCCTGCAGGCAGCTGTCTTGCACAGGAATCAGGCGGTGGCAGGAGGCTGGGCCTCACCATCAACAGCCACTGTCCCCAGGCGCACCTTCTCACGGCGGCGCTCCAAATGAAAGCTGTTCATTAGAGCGACAGGTTTACCGTTTTGCAGTGAGAACGGCTGGGGCTGCGTCCCCCCAGGAGTGGAGTCATGTGTCTGAGCAGCCTCTGCACTTGCAGGGGACGAGGACTCTCAGTGCCGACGGCTGAGGGAAGAGCTTTATGTGGAGATTTGTCCTCCCTGCGCAGGAGCAAATCACCCCAACGAGCCATGAGCGTGGCTGCTGCAGTTTTATGGCTCCACAGGACGGGGGGCTGGGATCCTGCCGCTGCTCCGAGCTCCGCTCCTGTCCCTGGGAGCTGGCGATGGCGGCCCTGCTGGGGCGCCTGTCAGGGTGGTCAGGTTCCTGAAGGGGCGTCCAGTCTCCAGCAGTTCAGCCCAGCCCAGGCCACAGCCCAAGCAGTGTCACTCATGGGAGGCTGGAGAGGGCCTCGAGGCAGGCCTGGGCAGAGGGCAGCGCTGCCCCAGCAGCCACCAGCATGGTCCAGGGAGAGACCTTCCCAGGGAAGGAGGTTTCAGAGGGACAGAGGCAGCAGAGTCCTCCCGCTCGTTCCCAGGGCACCAGTCCCTGCCTTAGAGGAAGTAAGTGCCCTGCAGGCAAGGACACCCGAGGGCAGCGGTCACCAGGCCCGTGGGTGGCCAGCCTGCAGCTTTCCAGAAGCCAGAGGGGCTTCAGGGGGCCAGCACACACTCCTGGCACCACCCCGGCTTCCTGTGGTTCCCACCTCTGTCCAAGTGGTCAGTGGGCTTCACCTCACTTTTGGCCGCTGGGCTTCGAGTGGGATCTGACCTGGGGACCCCCCTCTGGGTCCTTTGCTGAAATATTCACCTGAGCTGGTCTCAGGAATGCGGAGGGAGCAGATGAAAAGAGAGGGGTGTGAGCGTTTCCACGCCTGGACCCGGGCAGCACGCCCGCCCCAGCTCTGCCATCTGCAGCCGGGGTGCTGGGCTCCACAGCACAGCTGGACAGAGCTGGACAGTGCTGTGCTGTCCGGCTGAGCCCTCCACACCGCAGCCCTGCCCCCTCAGAGGACTTATGATCTCTCCTCAACCTCCTAAACGCAGCTGGACAGGTCCCTCCCGCCAGAGACCAACAGGAGAAGCAGGGCTTTGCCAGTGCATGCGCCAGGCGTCACATAGCTGATCCTGGATGCAGGGAGCTCCCTGTAGGCCTAGGAGTGGGACTCACAGGCCACTTTCCCCAGGAGCCCTGGGCTTCAGAGAAGCAGTGCAGGCCTCCAGAGGCAGGCACGCGGGAAGGCGCCTGCGAGGAAGGACCGGAGGGAGGCTCACTGGGGTTCCCCTGGTGCCGACCCTGAGGGGTAGGGGTGGTCTGCAGAAAGCAGGATGTATTGTACTGTGGGAGAATCTGTCCTGAGAGGCAAGGCCAGGGGTAGAGAGCCTTCTTCCTCTGTCGGCTGATTCCTAATCGCCTACACCTCAGAAGTACCTATGTGGAGCAGGCACACTTGGGGTGACCCCCGGGGCTTCCTTTGGCACCCTCTGCCCCCTGCTGCAGTGCAGGTTGAGGTCTGAGCCAGCGTCTGTTGATGGAGGCTTACTCTAGATCTCCTTGTCCAGCAGGTGGGTCGGTCCCTGCTCACTGCTGCCCCTGTGCTGGCCCGACGAGGACAAAGAAGGCCCTCCTGTGGTCCTGCCACACAAGGGGAGGTGTGTGCATGCTCCCTGTCCTCTCCTTGGGGGCTGGGTGCCTCAGAGCTATGGGGTCCCAGTCACTGTGCCTTGGCTGGGACCCCAACACAGAGCAGCGGTGCCCTAGGAGGAGGCAGGTTCTTGGGATGGGAGGCCCTGCGGCTCAGGAGCCCTGATCTGAGTCTGGCCCACTGGGCTGCATCCCGGGGCCCCCTTTGTGTGGTTGGAGTTCAGCTCCAGCCACAGTCTGTTCTGAGTGGGATCCTGGCCTGCCTGCCGCATGTCTCAGCCTCCCTGTCCTCAGGTGACAAGACACTGGGGGACTTGGGAGGCTGGGCCTTCGGGATGGGCGTGAAGACCGCCATGCTGCCTGGTGTTTTAAGTGGTAAAGAAACAGCTGTCCACAGGATCAGCTCAGAGAGGTGGAGCATGTGCTGAGACACACAGCAGGGAGGTAACCGAGCCAGTTTGAGCCCCCATGGCCAGGGAAAGCCATTCCATCTTATTCCAGGCTCCGGGGACCCCTCCTGGTGCTAGGTGGAGCCTGGCCGGAGTCCAACACAGCCCCTACTGCTGGTGGAGCGTCAGGGGTAAGGGTAGCCACAGGGTCCCCTCCTTCTCCAGCACGGGAACGCCCCATCCTCCTGCCGGCTGCCCTGGGCCCCGGTGCCTCTGGCTGATGGCAGATAACACGCTCCTGGGCAGCCTGGTAGTTTTCCATCATTACAGCAAACGGCAGGACTCTCGGGAGGCCAGGGGAGCTGAAAGGATCCTCTTCCTCAGCTCTGAGCAGTGAGATGGGGCACCTTTCTAGAACCTTCTGGGTGGGAGCAGAGACCAGTCTCCCCCACGATCTGCAAACCCCGATGGCCCCACCAAGGGTCTGTGGAGCCTCTGAGGATGAACCCTGGCCAGGGTGCCACACTCTCCCGAGGATGAAGTGCTCCCACAGCCTGAGGACCCCTGCGTCCCGCTCAGTCCTCTGTGTACCCCGTCACAGATGGAGAGGTCAAGAATGCCCAGGGGCAACTCGGCCACTCTGTCCGTCCCCCTCAGTTTTGCGGTGAACCCAAAACTGCTCTGAAGACTAAAGGGTCTTTAGCCAAGTGTCGTGCAGGTGGGTTGGGGCAGTGGCCGCAGCGTCCCTCCTCTCCCGGGCTCGGAGACCTTCCTGGCTCTGGGGCAGCTGCGGTGGCCCCTCCCATCACCAGGAGAGTTCCGTGGTCTGGCTGCCCCAGGGTGCTGAGCCACTCACCAGTCAATGCTCTGCGGGGCGTTTCCAGTTTGGGGCTCCTTTGAATACAGCTGTTATCAGAGCCCAAACCAAAACGCGCCTGAGGGTGGCACAGTGGGGAGTCACAGAGCCCAGGCCACACCGTGGCTTCCAAGGGCGTCCACCCTGCTTCCCCACTCGGGAGCCACCCTCCGGGAGCCAGCGCTCTAGACTGGCCCTGCAGCTGCGTGGCCACGGGCACCACCTCTGGAGCAGCAGGAGGTGGCACCGCCTCTCGGGCCTACCGCTTGCCCACAGTGAGTCGGGGGCACCAGTGCTCCTGCAACCAGGGGCGCCGTCCCTCCTCCCCTCCATAGCCAGGGACACCAGCAACCTCAGGCGCCTCCTCGTTTGCAGCAGACGCAGCACCTCCCTGGGCTGCAGCTGGGGGACGAGGCGGGGAGGGCTACCCATGTCCACAGCCACACAGGGAGGGTGAAGGGAAGGGCTACGGGATGAACGTGTCCCCTGGATTCAGACCTCAGAGCGTGGAGAGAAAGGCCTTGCAGAAGTCAAGGCTAGTGGGCCCTCTGGGTGGCCCTCAGTCAGTCTGCCTAGTGTCCTGATGAGAAGAGGGGACCAGGACACAGACACAGAGGAGGACAGCCTTGAGGGGACATGGGGAAGCTGAAGCCCTCCTGCCCCTCCCAGAGAAGAACCCTGGGGGATTAGTTTCGGCTCTGGGCTTCCTGATGCCCTTAGAGCGAAGCTCTGTTGATGTTCAGGGCAGAGCTGCTGACCGGGACATCAGTGGCCAGTGCCGTCCCAGGGCTGCTGCCTAGAAGGGCCCTGCTTGGGGTTCAGGGCCTGTGTCCTCCGTCTCGACACCTTTGACTTTGTGCTTTGTAAATGACTTCCCCTGGCACAGTGGCACCTCTCTCCCACCCACCTCACCCCAGATGGCTGCCAGCTGCTTACTCCTCCTCCCCAACCCAATGAGCAACCATGACACCCTTATCCCCTGGAGCCTCCCCTGGGAGATGAGGGGTTCACGGGCATGGCTTGGGCATGGGAACGGGGGGCTCTCAAACAGGTAGGCATTTGAGGCTCCCCAGGGTGGGGCTGGGTAAGGTCATGCTGGGCCCAGAGTGGTGGCACCATGGTGCGTCCAGGGGGTGACTCAGGGGCCTCAACCCTTGGCACCAAGCCGACTGGACATGGGAGCCACACCCTGGGGGTAGCTGGTCCCCCAGAGGTTGGGGGACCCCTGGAAAGGACCTGTGGTTCACTTTCATTTAGCTGGCCCTGCAAACAGACAGCCTTTGGTCTCAGGTCGGGTTATGCTTGGGCACTGGGCGGTGTGTACTCGGCCCAGGCACACGGGCACCCCGGGCTGCTGCCCACCCTGGAGGGACTCAGGTTGGGGATTCCGATGTGGATGGCCTACTACAGTGCCTGCCATTCCAACGGGGTGCACCCCGAGCTCCCAAGACGGTGAGGAGAGAAGCTCTCATCTGAGGTCACTGAGAATCCTCAGCTGCTCGGCACCCGAGGCCCCGGCCTGCTGAGCCATCACCAGCTGAGCCTCCCGCGGGGAGATAAGAGGTGCACTGGCCGGTCCCCCAGGGACTGGGGTGCTCGTTCAGGTGGGGTACCTCCTTGCGTGGCTAGTGCTGCAGGAGTCCCAAGATGGAGCCTTTCCCTGGAGCCCAGGAGTCTGGCACGTCCCCATCTCCACCTGCTGCCTCTGAGGTGTGGGGACCAGGCGAGGCCTGGCCGTTCAGGCGCCCTCCTCCTGTTCTCCCGTGTGCCTACCGCGGAGCTGCCTCCCCAGCACTGCTTATTTTTCATTTTGAGACAGGGTCTCACTAAGTTTCCCAGGCTGGCCTTGAACTGTGCAGCTCTTGCCTCGGCCTCCTGAGTTGCTGAGATTACAGGTGGACGCCACCGCACACAGCTCAGCGTTTCTTTGCCTGAGAATCACTTGTGGACAGATGGACCTTCATGGAGTTCACAAAGTCCCAGTCCTGCCACTCGAGCAGAATGTCACTGGCCAGATGACCAAGGGCTCTCACCACAGAGTGCCCTGGAGAACTGGAGGGCAGGAGGGCAGGAGAGCAGACTTGGCCCTGGCCGAGCTCTGCAGCTGGAAAGATGCCTGACTTGTGCTTTCAGAGTGACTGTGTCCTTCTGAGTCCTAGGACTGCTGTGTCTCTGTGGCCATCCAGTGGACGTCACCTCCCCTCCCCAGGCTCTAAGCTCCCCGAAAGCAGGATGTGTGCCCTCCACCCATTAGCTGCAAGGCCTGGGAGTGGCAGGCATTTGGGGACAAGCCCTGAGTGCCTAGAGAAGGGTGCCTGGCCCCGTGGAGTGAAGTCACCAGGCAGCGGGGAAGAAGTCCACTGCTGACCGCTCCTCCCTCACCAGCCCCACTGGCCCATTTCCAAAGGGAAGCTAGGCACAGCCCCAGGCTGGGAGGTAGGGGCTGCTTCAGCCTACCCTGCCCTGGGCCTCCCCTACACTGGCCCAGAGTCACACTGCCAAGGAGCACAACCAAGTGGCCCCCTGGGCCAATGCTCCATCACCGAGGCCATTGCCCCATCTTTGACACCCTGGTGACACATTCACCCTTGACGTGCAGGCCACCCTGTCACTATGGCTCACTGGTCCTCATCGTCTCCGAGGCCCTGCTCCTGTGCACTCTGCGGTCAGCTGCCTGGCTGAGTGCCCTGACAGCAAGGCCGTCCCTTCCACAGGCCAGAGCTCAACGTGGTCCCCTCTGGGGCAGGGAGGAGGTGAGAACCTCCGTGACCCACGATGTCTGGCGTTGTCGTGGGCTTTGCTTGATGGACCAGAGAGCACAGGCTCAGAGCCCCTCTGGCCGCACCTGCCCTGTGCACTTGTGAGACCCTGTGCCACATCCCCAGTCTGGCTGGAGGCACCCTGGAGGACAGGACTGTGCCTCTGACACACTTAAACATCTTCCAACACGCGCCAAGTGCCCGCGGTGCACAGGCCTCTGTGTGGAGCCTGGGGAGAGGCGATGCGGGGCGGGGGGTGGGGGAGGCAGGCTCCCCGGGGTCACGGCCTGACCTGGCCTCCCCTCCTGTCCTAGGACAGGTCATGAGCCCCAGGCTGTCCGAGGCTGTCCAGGACCCATCAGCAGAGAACCTCAGGCCTCTGGAAGGCCAATGCGGCACCTGGGAGAGCTGGCCGAGGGCTGTGGGCTCAGGGTCAGAGCTGCACAGGACACAGGCCCAGCCGCACAGCCTCCACTCACAAGCTTACCTCTGCTTCTCACGGAGGCCTACAGGGAGGAGGGGGCTTGGCTGCTGAGGCCCGGGGTATGACATGGCTCAGTCAGATTTCAAGACATTCCCCATAAGGAGGTCTGCAGAGAGGTTCCTGGAGACAGACACCTGCAGTGCGCAGGCCGTCCCTGTCCTGCGTCACTCTCCTGCCCTCTCCAGGCTCGCGGTCAGCACACACTAGGTCAGCGTCCTCTGGCTTGCAGCTGCACGTGCCACCTGCCACCTGCTGCCGTCCTGACTGGGCGCTGTGAACGCGAGAAGCGCTGTATTGTTCCGCCTCCCTCTTGAATCCTGTCGGAAGCAAAAACAACAATCAATTTTGAATAACAGCTTCATTTGAGCCAATTAAGAGAGGACTGATTTTGCTTTGAATTCAATTTGTGATGGCAGCACACTCTAGGAAGCCGGTAACCGGATTATTTTTTTCCACAAACATTTTGGCATTTTATATCCTGGGTGGGGTGATCTCCAAAAGCCTCCTCGTTGTTCGGCAGAGTTTCTAAGACGACAGGACAAACAGAGCAGGCCCTGCCCTGGGAAGGGCCGCGCCCACAGCCCACAGAGGACTGGACTGGGGACCAAGGGAAGCGATTTGAGCCACGTGCCTCATCCCCTAGCTGACATTTAACCTAAGGAGAAGGAAGAGAGGACAGTCCAGTCAGCAGCCCAGGCTATGGGTCCAGAACACGGGAGGCCCTGGGCACGCCCCTGGACACTCTCAGCCTCCTGGCCACCTGTAGAGGAGACTGATCGTTTCAGCAGCAGGTGAGGGGTGTTGGAGCGTGGTCTCACTCCCTCACCTTGTCCCTCTCTGCAGCTTGGTTTCCTCCTCTGCAAAATGGCTGCATGTGCCCCTTCCTGGCCACGTTGTGACAGGCGGAAGCACCACGTGCCCAGGCCCTAGCCTGGCATGCAGTAGGCACATGGCACATGCCAATGGCTGCGATCCCTCACCACTGCTCATCACCTTTACACTTGGTGACTCCCCTCTCTGGGCCTCTCTGAAATGAGGAGGAAATACTGAGGTGGACGTCCCCTCTGGTAGTCCTTGTCCCCCGTGCTGTGCCAGCCTCCATTCCAAGGCCCGGTCAGGCTTGCTGATTTCTGATGTGCCGCAGTCAGTTCAGAGCTGATGAAATGGGGGAGAAGCCCGCCCACCCGTATCTGAACAGACTGCTCCGGCAGCCGGGACTGCACGTGAGGCAGAAACCCCCGCAGGCGGAGCCAAGCGGCAGTGGCAGCCCTGGAGCCGGGTGCTGCCTTCCTGCTGCGCGGCTTCCTATCAATAGCCAGAGAGCCCTGCGCCTGGAGTCCACCTCTGCAGCCCCTGCACAGCGGGGCCACGTCTCTGCTAGGGGCACGCCACAGGCAGCGGTCACCATTCTTCCAGGCCTCTGACCCACTGCCACCTGCCCCAGATGATGCCCTGTCCTCGGGCCTCGCTTCCTGTGGCCGAGTGTCTGCCTGCTCTGAGGCAAAGGAGGGGGCCTGGCCAGCCTGGGGGCTGGGGCTCCCAAGGGCTCTCTGGGACAAAAGGGATGGTCAGGGAAGACAGGTGGGCAGTTACCGGAGCCCAGGCAGAGCGCTGGTTCCGAGCCTGGGGGTGGGGCGGAGTCAGAAGGAGAGGGGAGGGGAGAAGGGGGAGTGAGGCCTCCTCAGTATGCTTGCAGCTGTGAGGGACCTTCACGGAAGGTCTGCAGGGCCTCGGGCCCGGGCGGCTCTGAGACCCACTGCTCACTCTGGTATCCAGTGGCAGAGGCTGAGGTGGCAGAGCTGCCTGGCTGCAGCCCCTGACGCTGGGCTGGGCCCCTCTCACACCGCCACCCCCCGACCCAGAGGCTTGCAGGCTGTGGTTGGACCTGGGGCTGGACCTGGGGTCTGGGCTTTGCTGTGGCATGAATGGCCCTCTGGGGCTCTCCTGGGGGCAGAGTTGAGCAGCCCTTTAGGATCAGCAGTCCTCCAGGTGGGCCCAGCTGCAGACCTCCTGGGTTCCAGCTTTTTCTGTCAATCTTACATCAAGTCAAGAGAAGGGTGTGCATATCCTGTTTCCTTTTTCTCCATGACTGCCAGGTAGCTCTGGGCATGTTTTTGTTCGGACCTAAGGGCAGGACCCCTTCAGCCAGTCTCTATGCCAGTCCTCCCACTCCACCCTGCATGGCCTGATTTCTTATCTTGACCATAATGATTCTATTGTACCCGCTGGGAGCAGCCACAAATCCTCTTGGCAGGCAAGAAATATATTTTTGGTCCCCAGGGCTTTCTGTTGGCCCAAAGTCTACCGCAGACTCTGCTTCCCAGGCCGACTTCAGAGGACAGTGCTGTGCCCCACCGAGGGGCCCTGATCCTTCCACCCTGCCCCCTGCCAGGCAGGGAGGGCTGTGCAGACCAGTCATACTCGGTGGGAGCTGGGGGACTAGCCTGACTCACACAGGGAATGGACCAGAGAACCCTCCGTCTCCCAGGAGAGGGGGACACTTGGACTCCCCCACCCCCCGCAGCAGCCCTGCTGGTCAGGAGGTGCTGACTGCTGGGGCCCTGGCGCTACAGCAGGCTCAGGCGGAGGGCGGGATCCTTGGGTGAGAGGTCCCTTCCTGGTCCTTGGAAACTT